CGGCGGCTAACATAGCCAATGAGACGGCCGAAACCTGCAACGCCTCAATGGCCATGTCTGGGGCATTTCGGGCCACGATGTCTGTGTTAACCAAGCGACGAAGCTCCTGCCGCCTTGGAAGGCCCTCATCATGCGGGAGGTATAACCCGCCAGCTGGTGTTTCGGTGCGCAAGGCTCGCATTCTGCGATTGATCGCTTCCACGATATCATCACGGTTGGGGGTCGACATTGCACTCGAAGTATAAGCGAAGTGAAGTGTCAGTATGTCGGGGATGTCTAGGAGGTTATCACTAAGTGCTGGTAGGTTGGAGTAAAGTAGTGCCCACCACGCACCCTCGTGTATTAGCTTCCATACTGGATTAGACAGCTTCGCGAATCTTCGACGACATGAGGCCGATAACAATTCACGGATCTATAACTTCTTTACCTACGAGGCTATTCAACATGTGTTTCGTTGCCTTAGTATAGTAGGGCTGCCCACTATTGATAGTAAGACTAGTAGCAGCGCGAACCTCACATGCCGAGGAGTCAGTAATATATCTCAAGTGTAGTGTGAGATCAGGTTGATTCGTTATGGAATCCTACTTCAAGTTCAAGACCCAAGTTGGCGCACATTGCTGCCTGATCTTGCGCTGAACGCTCAGTTGTGCGGTTTGTCGATCGTTCGCATCAGTAGACCATTAGATAAGGGCGATGTAACACGAGAGCACGTCGCAAAGCCTTACTGCACTATGCGCGATACATACTTAGAGTCAAGAGTTAATTCTGTAGGGAAAGCAGCGTGCAGCAAATCTGAAGCGTAGTGCTCACCTGAACCTACCGTGCGCGCTATGATCATCATGATAACGGCGAATAACGCAACTCTTCAATCCGGCCGCGCAAAAACATCTATAGTACATGGAAAGGAGCCACAGCGTACATACAAGTAAAGACAGTGCCCATTATAATGTACAGGCACTGCACTTGCACTGGTCGTTAATCTTCCTCGCTGTCTTCGTCCTCATCGGCCAGTTCCAATCCTTCATATGGTGGCGGAATGTCATTGGGTACACCTTCAGGTCTTGGGCTGACGACTACGACTCCGTTCAGCGTTTGCCCCGTCCCTCCCATCGATGGCACGACCCCAGCAGGCCTCCGCGATGTCTGAGAAGTGCGGGAGCGCGTGGACATGGGTGATGGCAGGGGTTTAGGATTCGCAGCAAGAGCGGCGCGTGTCTCGCGTTCCAGCTGGCCTCGGAGGGCAGTAGTTTTGCGATCATCCAGGAATTGCTGCTTGAGCTGCGGGTTATGTATGTTTGAGCGGGGACAAACAAATGACAGGCGAGATATGAAACATACCTTCTCCTTCGCAGCTGCTTCTGCCGCTTTCGCTTCTAGTATCACGCGCTGATTGCGCTCAAGTTTGGATTCCTGGCGGCTGAGAGTTTCGTTGATTATTGCAAGCCCGATTTGAAGGTCGGTCATGCGCCGCGTGTCAAAGACATAGAATGGTTGAAAGTCCACCACCTGCACAACCAGCTGCGTCAGTAACTACAGACGATTAAACATCACGCCACACTTACATCAGGTCGAAATCCAAGCTAAACGAGTATAATGGCTGAGGATGAATCATTATGCACGGCAAGAGATTGATAGTGACCTACGGCAACTGCGTACTCCAGTGTACCCTTTGGTTCTACCAGAAGGGTCTTGATCTTCGAATTTGTCGGCTTGAATTTTCTGTATTTTTCTTCATCAGGGTGCGCAAGTATGTTTTCTGCGAGCGTCTTCAGTATCTATGACGCCACAGCTTCATCAGCGTAAATCCATGGTGACAAATGGGAACAACAAACTTGTAATGATTGCAGGGCAAGTTCGCTGCTATTCGGTCTGAGGATACCTGGATCTATCATGCGACGGAATTCCTGCCGTCGTTCATGGTTCGCGCCAAAAGGAGTGTCCTGCTGTTGCGGCGAGGCCTGGGCTTGCTCCGCCTCTCGCTGCTGTTGGAGGCGGCGCTCGATGAAGGCAACGATGTCGTTGCGGCTGCTGGAGCCTGCTGAGACGGACTCGAGGTCGGCGTCCATACGAAACAATCTGCTGAAAGTGCGGGCTTATGGGAACCTGCACACTGCATTACAAAAAGGAGGACTACAGGCTGGACTCTGGAGTCACGATCTAGTCGCCAGATTCGGTCAAGCGCCTGTTTCTGCCACAATTCGGTTATACTGGCCAGCCACTGCAAGACCGACCCATTCGATCCTGTTAAGACGGCTACTCTACGTTGTTCGAATAATGGCTTTTTGTACGTTGAACTCTTGTGAAGAATCTCTCGGGGATAATGCAACTTGAGGGAAGAAGACCTATGCCCGCGCAAAGCCGCAGAATTAACGTCATGGCTCATGGGTCGAGGCAAGGCTAGTACTACACCACCTGCCGGGTCGAGGCGCATGATGCACCCTAACATGTCTAGGTTCTGCTTGGACACCTACCATCATGTCTACTCGAACTGCTGTCCATGTCTCTTTACGCGATGAGGCCATCCTCACCAGTCCGAGGTGGAACAAGGGTAGTGCGTTCACCGCTGAAGAGCGCAAAGCATTCGGCCTTACCGGTCGCTTACCTTTCCGCGTCAATACTCTCGACGAACAGTGCGAAAGGGCGTACGATCAGCTCCAATCACGCGAGTCTCCTTTGAGGAAGAATTCGTTTCTGCAAAGTCTCAAAGACCAGAATCGGGTCCTGTACTACTCTCTTATTTCTAGGCATCTCGAGGAGCTTACGCCTATTATTTATACACCCACTGAGGTGGGCACATTTATTTTCATGCCTTATCGCATATGTGATCTGAGACCTCTCCGAAAGGCCGAGGCCATCGCAAACTATTCGCATCTGTTCCGCAGGAGTGAAGGCCTCTACCTCACATTCTCGAACCTGAGTTCTATGGAGGAGGATTTTATAGAGCATACACGAGGTTGCAATATTGAACTTGTTGTTTGTACTGATGCAGAACAGATACTCGGAATTGGTGACCAAGGTGTTGGCGTGAGTTATACACATTGGTTCGCCCGCAACAATATTTCTCACCGTTTATTCTGCAGGGCATCGGAGTCAGTACCATACCCCTATCCTAAGTTTGATTTATACTTATCCCAAATTTAGATCGCAACCGCTAAGGCAGCTATATACACGTGAGTATCGACTCTTTTCTATATATTAGTTAGCTCATACATCACAGTTTACTGGCTGGAGTCAACCCATCCAAAACTTTAAGTGTAACACTTGATGTTGGAACAGACAACGAGAAGCTATTGAGTGATCCTCTTTATGTTGTGAGTATTGATTCGTGCGCAAGTGGTTTATCTGACCGCGTGATACTAGGGGTGGCCCCATAAACGCATCCGGGGCGAGGGTTATGATCGATTCATTGACAAGTATGCGTTTGTTGCGGGTTGGTTAATTTGTCACATCTCATTTTGTCCCTGTAGTTTTGTGCAGCTTATCCGTAAGCACTATCCGCACAGTTTATTGCACTTCGAAGACTTTGGCGTGAGCAATGCGAAGCGACTCCTTGATCTGTATAGTGAAAAACATGCGGTCTTCAATGACGATGTGTACGTTTCAAGTACATTCTGTTATTTCTTTGTTGCTAATACACCTCATACACAGACAAGGCACGGGTGCTGTGACCCTTGCTACTGTAATGTCTGCTGTTGGTGTTACCAAGTCTTCGCTCGCGGACCAGCGTATTGTTGTTTTCGGGGCTGGCACGGCTGGCTTGGGAATTACACGACAACTGCGCGATGGCATGGTCGCGCTTGATAACGTCTCCGTATCGGACGCTAACAAACGATTCTATCTACTCGACCGCTACGGGCTCATCAAGGCATCGCTTGGGTTGGATAAGATTCGTGATGGACTGCAGGAGTTTGTGCGTCCCGATGATGAGTGGGAGGGCGTGAAGACGAACGCCAAAGGCGAGATCGAGCTGTTAGAGGTAGTACGAATGGTGAAACCAACGGTGCTGATTGGGTGTTCAACCCTAGCGGGTGCGTTTACCGAACAGGTCGTGAAGGAGATGGCCAAGGGGACCGAACGCCCGATCATATTGCCGTTGTCGAACCCGACCAGGTTGCACGAATGTACTCCAGAAGATGCAAATAATTGGACGAATGGAAAGGCACTCCTGGCAACGGGGAGCCCTTTTCCGCCATGCAAGATGCCCAATGGGAAAGAATATGTGTGAGTAGAGTGTCACCTGTGCCTTCTGCCTTTCTTCATGTCTTTTTTCTTGGCCGTGACTTAGAGTTGCGGAATGTAACAGTGAGTAGCAGTCAGTAATAATGGTGACGTTGCTCTGACAGGTATGTCATAGACGCACTAATCTATCCTGGCCTCGGGTTTGGTGCGATCGTGTCGAAGGCGCGCTCACTCACGGACGCAATGATCATTGCGGGTGCGCGGCGTTTGGCCTCGCTCGCGCCGGCACTGAAGGACCCCGATGACGCGCTCCTCCCGGATTTTGGGAGCTCCCCGGATGTCAACTTTGAGGTTGCCGTCGCCGTGGTAGAGCAAGCGATCGAGGATGGAGTTGCGGGTGTAGACTGGGGGGGGAAAGAGGAGGTACGAGATAAGATTAGGGAGAAGCAGTGGAAGCCGGTGTATGAGCCATATGTGTATGATGTCGACGGCGAGCAGTGACTAGTGATACAGTGTAATTTGGACGACTTTGCGTTTCCAATGAGACATTGTGCCGGCTGTGCATGCAGACAAGCACTTGCCTTTCGCGGCAGCCGACGCGAGGCGACTTGTTGGGTCGAACCACCACCGTGACGACTGCATGCGACGGCTCTAGCCCAAGCTCGCCTGCCTGGGTTTGCACGGCCACTCGGCGGGTGCGCAGAGAAAAGGCCCACATGAAGCCCTCCGACCGGTCCACATCTCGGCTCACCATCCCTTCCCCCAGCTATGTTCCTCAAGCAGGCAGCCGCAGTCGCAACGGCTTTGCCTCCGCCTCTGGCTACCTGAGCTCGCCCTCTGCTTCGCCGCTGGTTGCTCGCTCATACTCCCAGCTCAGCTCGCCGCTTTCCCCCAGTCCCCGGTCGCAGCCTCCGACCCCACTCGAGATGCCCCGGGAGTTTGTCGAGAATACCCCTGAGGCTAGCACGAAGCGGCTGCTCATGCCCACCGTTCGTGCGGTTCGGAACCCCTCTTCTCCGCGCATATCCCAGTACAGATCATCCCCATCGAAGATTCCCCGGTCGCGCGCGGGGTCTGTGTCCAACCCTATGCTGGTCGACTTGACCGACCGTGCAGCGCCTCCGGGGTGCCCAGCGGATTGGATTGGCGGTGGCTGTAAGTTTGATGTCGTCGAAGACTTGGTTGAGTTGGAAGGATACCAAATATACGCGGTTGAGAAGTGGTATGCTCCGAAGGTATTCTGATGCCAATAGAATCTGAATTTGCCACAGGGTTGTTGAACGCCGAAGACCTGTCATAGTCTTGACCGTCTTTACAGGTGATTCAAAGCACAAGGTAGGACTCTGTTTCATGTATCAAGATGGCCTGTCTCAGTGTGGATTAGATTACGGTCACTGCATTTAGCCCTTCGCCTTCAAGTCCAGAAGAGGCACAATCCGAATGGGACATCGCCATGCGAACCCTCCGCAGTGACGGTGCTCGTCCCAAAGAGGTGGGTCCCCTTGATGCTTCTCTGCGCTACAATGTAACAGAGGCGCACTGTGCTTCGCAGACCGGAAAGGGTGTACTCATGGTTACTTCCCTAGCCAACTTCCGCTCGGATTATACCATCGTGCATATACCACGAGGCAATTTTCTTGAAGTACGGGAGCAGTTGTACACGAATATAAACCTCCTGCGCATGGGATGTAGTGGGCGCAGTGCTCTTACTCTAGAAGAACCGAGGTGTGTTCCTATGACCGTCCATCTTCTCCCATTGTATGATGCCAACTGAGAATACTCTGCTACTATTTACAGTGATACAACAAAGGACCGGTTTGTTCTTATGTATCATGTACCTGATAAGGCGGTCGTGCGTTCTGGTGGTTCCTTTAATGCAACAGTACTGGAGCTCGTCAAACTCATACAAGCAGCACTGGCTATTTTTGACATGTTTGACCTCGTCCCAGAGGAACGCAATGGTCTACTGTGCGACGTAACATCTGAGGGTATCAAGCGATGGGTCACGGATGTTGGAGAGCCCTGCATGAAAGTTGAAGTGAATTCCCTATCTTATTCTAACAGAGAAGACACTGAACTTAGCTGTGTGCTCTTAGCACATGGAACGCGTAGCAGATCCGACACTTGTGGCTGCACTGCTTAGTCTGATTATGACCATCCGCAACAAGCTGCATGCTCTTGGACATGTACGTCGAAGTTGAACCTCAATTCTCTTAATTGAGCCAAAATCTTTGTTGCAGTATGTTCCCAAGGATCCTTTCTTGGACCCTCAGGGTTTCACTCGAGCTCTTGCCGCTTGTCAAATGGCAAAGCCTCACGGGCCCAATCTTGCACTAACGCCTTCTCCACGCGCGTCTTCACCTCCTGCTCGAAATCCTAGTCCCAACCCTACTTCCACAATCCCGTCCTCCAACCCTTCCCCTTTGCCACCTACCGTCTATCTTTCTCACCAGTTTGTGGAATCCATTCAATCTGCATATGAGAAGAAGACGCGTCAAACTGAGCCGTACAAAGTCCACCGGGTGCTGATCAACAAGCTCGATGATCTAGCTTCCGATCTGCGTACAGGCACGAGCACTGGCTCTGACGCAGAAGGCGGAGGAAGCGCTGCTGCAAGCGTCCTCAATCCCACCGCTGACCTGGGTGCATTTGTGAGAGTCGTCGTCGGCAATTCGAGGGATGCTCCACACAGTTTACGTTATTTGTGGACCGGACGATTAGAGGAGACAGACAAGAAGAGACGCGAGAAAGAGGCTTTGTGGAGTGACACTGAGCGGGATCGGGAGGAGCGGGATCGGGAGAGAGACGGGGAGAAAGATGGCAGAGGGCGTGACATCTGGGATAAGGGTTGGAGAGAGAAAGGGAAAGATAGGGATGAGTTAAGTCGTGAAAGAGAAGTCAGGTCCTCAGGTGACGAGAGTGAATCACTAAAGCCATGGTCGGGCAGAGTCCAACGCAAGATCGAGAGCTGGGCGGCGTAAGTCGGGTTACCTTGAATCGATTCCCGTCTGTCAGGCTTATAGCGTTGTTGCACAGCTTAGGACGGGGAAAGAAGCTTAGCGTTGACTTTGGCGCGCTAGGAAAGACGCTACTGGATTCACCCCACCGAGGAGGCCATTCCGAACAGTCCGGCCCCTCGTCTACGGTGCCTTCGGTAAGAATCTCCGGGTGAGTACTGATTGATCTCGTGATTGAGCGCAACTGACACTCCGGCTACCTAGAGACCCAGACGAAGACGATGGTGTATTGAGTAGCGGTCAAGTGTCTCCCATTTGTGAGTCTTCCTTTGAAGGCGCTTAGTTCTAGCTGACTTGGCTTCGCCAGACGAATCATCAACGCCCATGATGCTCGGCATTGGATCTTGGACCTCTGCGCATCGGTCCACCAGCGAATTGTCCGACTATGATCGCCGCGTCATCGAGTTCAACAAGAAACGTCCTTCAATGCGGCCCTACTACCAGTCACGCATTGTTAGCTGGTCTGATCCCCTTAGTGCGAAAGAGATTGTCGACAAGAGCGACAGCATGGACGATATGGACACACCCAGAGTTCCCAATGCTACTACTTACGCGCGCAAGGATGACGATTTCTTCAGTGAGATCGAGGTAGGTGGTTATATGCGAAGGCAAGATGCCACATTTGGTCGACCGCGGAGCCGTAGCTTTGAGGCGCCAGCAAGGCTCAAAGACTTGCGGGTGCTTCCTGCTGAGTGGATGCGCATCGACGTCGAGCTCTGTGGCCAGCTTCTTATCCTGCATCGACGTGAAGAACACCTGAAGAACGTAGTTGCCTGTCTCTCTGCTCTTGCCGACCGTGTGTCGCACACCAACACGAAGCTTCGAACGGACCACGAAGCCGCTCGCCCAGCGCTCGAGGGGCTGCGTGAGCAAGCACATATTTTACAACGTGTAGAGATGGCCCGCGCTCGCACGGATGCCCTTACACAGGAGACGCAGGCCCTTGCGTATGAATCTGCGCAGTACCTCGTTGAAGACCTATGGCATATGGCCGTGCAGCCGCGCCGGCGGGTGATTGCGCTTCGTGAACAAGTGTTCAGTACAGGCCGTCGGATCTCTCCTCTCAGTCGTGGTGCCCGTGGGCGGTTCAGCCGGGTGCAATGGACCTTGGACGGGAGAGAGCGTCTTGTCGATGCGCTGGGGCGGACCGAGAGTGAAGCGGAGGAAGAGGAATGGTTACCATTCGCCGCCAGCGTCGACGATGACTCAGATACGGAAGAAGTGGACGAGGCGGAACACAAGTCCCTCAGGCCAACATGGCTACTGAGATTCTTCAATTACTGGGGAACGAAGTGGGGTGCGTTGAGGGATCCTGGTAAAGGAGAACTACTTGCTAAGGACAACTGCGAAGCCGAAAGATCTAGAGAGGACACACCTGAGCGCGGATTCAGTACATCTCTACCCGAATCGCCACCTATTGCGGCACGGATACGACAATCCGGCAAGGATGCTCATACCACGATGTCATGATACCCCGCTTCCATTCCATACTGCAACAGCGCTGGGCGTCTGCGTCGCCCTTCATCTTGAATCCAAAATGATCATGATATCTATTACAATTTGAAGATTGGGATGTGATCACGCAATGTGATCACGCAAATAGTACCCGTTCATCTGGCTGCCTCATAGATTCGCTCGGGCTTACTGGAAAAAGATTTTCCGTGGAAGACGTGGGCAACATAGCGCTGGCGCGTATCAACATGTATCATTTGCTCTACTGCTTTGGAAGTGTATACAGAATCACCACGTCGAGGTCGCTTAGCACTCACAACAATCACGTATCCACCCAGGAAGAATCATAACTGATCTACGAGAGCCCCTTCATAACAAATCAAAAACCAAAGGAAGTAACAGCCCATAGGGTGCTAAGATTTCCTGTTGGTTTTGGTATCTGACTGTTGCAATTGCTGGTTGCTATTATGCCATGGAACACTGATGATTAGGGAATACATTGTAATATACATGATGCGGCGGGCAGATTGTTTACACGACCAATTGTACATTATCTGATTGTTACTGAGATAAATCATTACACAGGCGAAGGAGAGTACGGATACATATCCAGGATCTTCTGCTTTAATATTCATATCAAAACTCTCCATCGTCTGCGAGCCTCCGTTCTAGGTCGGATCGAATGTCAAACACTGAGGAGTGCCGCTGCCTCCGTGACAAGATAGAGAGGTCGTCATCATCCGAAGAACTGTCGCCCGACCACGTCGGTTCCGCCATGGAGTCTTGCAGAGTTTCAGATACAAGCTGCTTGCTGCTTCGGCGTATGGAGGAGAAAGGTGAGAATGATCCTGTTATAGATCCATTTCCTAAGCGGCGCAGGAATTCCACCGGGTTCACATGGCTCGATGATGCATGGCGGGTAAGAGGCAGGGCATGTTGCGAACTGCTATTGGAGGGAGGAGGAGGAGGATCTGGCGTAGCTCCACCACGTTCTTCTCTTGCGGTGTCGTTCTCTACTCTGCGAGATGGATTCGGCGCCAACTGGCGACGCCGGAGGGATGGACGGCGCGGGTCCAGACTATGACCAGAAGTCAGAGACGAAGACGTCCCATTCGATCCAGACGCTACAGGTTTATTGTCGCGAATGCTGTTCAGGAAATAGGCCGTCTCCACATCAGTATCGACTGGAAGCGGCGCTTCCGAAGGTGCTGAACCAATGGGGGTGCTTGATGTCACCGGGAACTTGGTATCGGGATTTGGAACAGGAACACGTTCCTGAGGTGTAGCGTCAGACCTATGCGCGGATCTTTCCTGGACACGAGGATGCAGCGCTCGCCGGACGGCCTGCCTTCCAATAAATATCTGTTTTTCCAGACGAAAACGGTTCTCAATCATGTGCAACTGGGCGCAGTTTGCGTAAGGACGATTCTGAAGCTTGGCGACACGTGGAACGCACCTTCGGCCATGTAACAAGCTGTCCAACGTACATCATCCTCTCCAACTCAGTCTCGTCAGGGTCGCTAAGGATGTGAATCCAATCCTAGATATCGATTATCTACATCAGCTAGGGCTGACTTAGCTCACACAGAGAACTGACTGAGAATTTGGTACGTGGCCAGATCCTAACGGGATAAGGAATTAAGTTTTCGAATACCATCCATATAGAGCAGTCAACTTACGTTACACTGCCCTCAAACCGCTGCAGGAATACGCTGGACCAGTCCTGGCCCAGGACTTGAGGCAACAGATCAAGATCGCGTATTAGCTGCGCAGAACTATCAGCTATCTCAGCACCCGTGCAACAAATCTGTCAAACCTTAAAGTTCTTGGTGAGCTCCAGTTTCAACCACTGCTCCGCGGCAGATAGCAAAAAATTTCCTCGCCATCCTAAGATGTTATTAATCAGAAAGAGGCTATCCGCAGCACACTAAAAACACACCTTTGTTCTTCCGGTGTGCGACAGGTTTCCCTGCTGATCCCTGTGGTGCAAAGAAAAACAGATGTACATGAGGGTTGACTTGCGATACGATGGGATGAGTGACTAGGCCCAGTGAAGCATGAGCATATACTACTGAAACATATGGGACTGGGCAGATACCATTGAAGTACATATTCAACGCTTGTACAGGAATGTCAACTCTGTTTGAGAATGCGTGAGCGATTCCTCCGGACCCCGTGGCCACAATCATTTACCTCAACGAGCCATCTTTGAATTTGCTGCCCCAGCTCCATGGTACAATACTTCCATCCTTGAGTTTCTGCATTAAGACGACGGGATTCAGAATACCTGGCACCGCGGCAGATGCCAACAATGCACTCCAGATAACTGTATCAGGTGCCGTCATGTAATTCAATAGCTTAGTGGGGCTATGTAGCAAGTTCAGCGCTGCATAAGAATCATCCAATCATTCACTCACGAATGTCTGTCCGCAGGAACTACGGAAATGTTCAAGATGCGGCCTGTTCTCATGTACGCCTCCCGAAACGTCATTGAACCGCGGGTGAAGAAACACAGCTGTGCGAGGCGTTATGAGCTTGTTTCTGACATTTCATGGCGATTCCGGATGAACTTACCTTCCTGGCCCACATCAAGCTGTCGAACCGCGCACCGCTAGTCCAAAATCGCTTGATCCACACGCGAAAAGGCTCTTCAAATGCAGTTATGCGCCGAGCTAACTCAGGTACTAGCAATGCTTTCACTTCGGCATCCGTGCGGGTGCACACAACCGCGGCGACAACACCGCCGGCGGATGTGCCCGATATGACACGAGGAAGAAGGCCTGCTTCCAGAAAGGCTTTCACCACCCCAAAATGATCTACCAGTCAAACCACAATTCAACCACAATCCACATAAACAACCGGATAATTTCTCACAGTAGCCAAATGAAGCACCCCCGGAGAGACACAGAGCCGAAGTTCCGAGATTCGTGTTGGCCATCTTGAAAAAGCGCTTCTTCTCCTCGTTTGAGATGGCTGGAGACTCTCGAATGTACTCGAGAGCCTTCTCCTGTTCAGTTACGTACTCTGCGAATGATAGTATTCAAGCACAATCAACACATCCAACATTTTCCCACCTTCTATCAACACCTTCGTCCCATAGAAAGTCTGAGTTGCACATGTCAATATAAAACAGATGCCAACATAAATGATTGCGCTACCTCACTGTATAATCTGTATGTGGCGTCAATATCACTACGCACAAACACTGGCTTGAAGAACTCGCCTTGAAGATTCTATGCCAGCGAAGTTGGTACGAATGCAAGTCTCTAGAACGCCAAGCACCCCGCGGGCATCATTCCTCTCTCTCAGAGTTCGCAGCGACCTGCGAACCTAGAACAATAATGGGGTCGACGGTTGGGTGGCCTCGGATATAAGACGTTAGCAACGGGTATTCACCTTTCTGACCAATCTCCAATCATAAAACGGGTCCTCTTCGGTCTGTTTCCATTCGCCGAACTGCAAATGGTCGTCCAGCACAAGTGCTGCATCTTTCCATTCCTATATATCGGTGATCAGTGGATCGGGATCAGGTTGGAGAATCACAACGCACTTGATAGGTTCTAGCATTTCTCAATCTCTGTCGCAGTATGCCTTTTCGACCACGCCCTGTGAAACGTAAGTGCAGAACGTATATTAGAATCATGGAAACTGACATGCAGACAGCCATTCCTTGGCATTGACCAACTGTCGGATGAGGACGTACATGCCGAACTGAACTGCCATGAACAAGAAAATGAGGGACTGTATGGAATCACATCAGCTCATTTAGAGACTAAGATGATACACTAGATATATGCGCACTAATAAAGGCCATCGCACTAAGATATAGAGCCACTCTTGTCTCTTATGCTGTGGTTGGCCCGTATTTCTTCTCCGTCTTTCGTCCAAATCAGAATCAGAATCAATTTGGTGACATGTTTATTCAGCAACGCACTTCTTCACTCTGAGGTTCACAGGAGCAAAATCTGATAGTGCAGATATCTTCCGGACGCGCGGACTAGCAGGGATAGATAGCTCTGCGGGCGAACTTGGACTCGGTATATATGGCTGGTCGTTCAGGTCATAGTCCTCTGTGTTTATAGCCTGAGAGAAGGCTTGTATGTGGCTGCGTCACAGAACTGTATGAGCTTGCCAGGTTGTGATGCGGGAGTGTAACGCACGATTCGTCCACATAGTCGGCATCGAGCTCGGACGGCAGCTCCCGCTCACGATGAGCGACGATGGAGCTTCGCCGTCTGACACGAGACATACAATGCGTTGATACTGTGCGCACTCTGTGTAGGTGATAATCAAGCAAAGGGATGTCTGTATTTCCAAGCGCTGACGTTGTAAGGAGTGGATTTGGTGGACACTGGAAATGACGGTCGACGCGAGGCCGCCGACTCAGGTTGAGAGGTGCTGTTTCCGGTTCACGTGCTTCACAAGCGCGGGTTCAATATTTCCAGGACCTCCACCAGACCTCCACAAGTTGCGTCGAATGTCTACGTGGTTGTTTGACTGCGATGCCAATTTGGAACTTAGAGTTCGTTAGTGTCTCGGTAACGTTGTGCGTATATCTCATATGTTCATACATGACTGGGGAAGGGAGCCTTGCAGAAGAAGTCCTAAATGTTGATGCATCTAACTAAATAGCAAAAAATCTCCGTGTTGAAGTCCTTGAAAATAAATACGGCATGCGTCGGCTGTGTCGATGTTCAGAGTGGAAGCGAATTCCGAAGGTGGAGGTGAGTTCCCCCTTGATTTAGATGTGATATTGTGCTCCGACTGATAAATCTGGACTTCTAGCTGGATTGGCCCGTGCGACAAGCCGTGTTTTGATGTCTTGTACGCCACTTGACGAATTGGCCAGCATGCCCCGCATGTTGAGTTCGTTATGTGTACCAAGATGCATGTGATGGAAGGTCTTGCACGGGCCATCTTAGAAGAGCTGTGCCCTTCTCCGCTAAATGTTCGGCAACGTCATGCTGCTTCCACGCTGCGGGGGCCTCCTGGCTACCTGAACGCCGAACGAGACGTCAGAACACGATATCCGGGCGCTTCGTCTCGCTTGGCGTTCTAGCAGCATAGGGGCTGGTTATCCGATTGTTCTCCACAGCTTGACCCCCTGCTGCGCATGCAGTGGCGGGTTCCATCGGATTTCTGACTTGTGGATAGCAACGGCTGCCGTTGGGAGCACTGTTGTTGTTGGCGGTGTCGTGCACTGGATACGCTGTGCGATGGCTGTTGCATTCGCACCCTGTTTGGTATGGCCATCAGTAAAATCAGTCCATCGCTGCTATTTCGGGCGTCTGTTGTGATCGCAATCCATGAGGCCCTTCGAAACTGTGCACGACGCCCACTCCCCTGTTTGGATGCTTATGGAAATGCCATGGTGACATAAGACCCCCCCTCCTCGGCTATATAAGCCCCCCCACACAGCTCCATCCTCAAACACTTTCTTTATCTTTCACTCCATCAACTCGTATATTCACCATGGGATGGTTCTCTGACGACTCTGACCAGGCTCAGGCCTACGACCAGGTTCGTTCACGTCTCCCTTCCTCTCCTTCTCTCGACTGACAGCGTCGTCCTTGCTTAGGTGGTGAACGCCCCCCACAAGGCTGAGCTCTCTCACGAGCTCCTCGCCGGTGCCGCTTCCTTCGAGGTATGCCCGACTTCCTCGAGCCACACCAACGTTACTGATTCTATCCCCAGGCCATGAAGGCGTACGAGCGCCACTGCGCCGCGAACGGCCAACCCACCTCGCACGCAGAGGCGAAGGAGCTGCTGTACGTATCCTCATATTGCATATAGTCAGCATATAGTCACACATGTTCACTATTTCTGCAGCGCTGGCTTCGCTGGTGCCTTTGTTGACCGCATGGTCGAGACCAAGGGTGTATGTGTCACTATCGATCGTTCCCCTTGATGTTCCCACTGACCTCCGCATCTTCAGCTTGACTATGTCGACAGGCAGAAAGCCAAGCGTCACGGTTAGTATTTTGACCTGTTTTCGCGTCGCTGAGTCTAATCGTGCGATATTGGCAGCTCACGAACAGACTGTTGAGGTGGTCAACGAGGAGAACTACAACGTCTACTGAGCGCGGGCAGGATGAAGCAGAATGCAATCATGTTGTAGCTTGTACAATTCATTATTGATACCATCTGATAACGTGTGTCATCATCCCACTGAGATAATCCGATCAGATTCACCACTGCTTTTGACGGTGCCGAAATATTCAGCTGCAATCGTGACGATTGCATTCGGGTTCCTGAGTCACCGAAAATCGTTGCCCATAACAGCTAGTGAAAAATGATATTTATTGTTTAGGAAACTAGGTCACTCGATGGGTTGTGTTGAAAACATGTGAAGAAAGCTGAAATTATGTGATTCATGTGAATTTATTTTATTTCACTTTCTCTCCTTGAATGATACAGTTTCCGATTATAATT